CGACAGCTTGGGTCTTGGCCATTAGCTGTGTGGAATGATTCAGCAGTCATTTTTAAATAGTCTTTTGTACAAAAATTGGAGAAAGGGTTGAAAAAAGCAAACAGGAAGGCCTACATTTTAATAACAATGCAAGAAAAAATGGTCCTGGGTGTTCTTTGTCTTGACTGCAGGACTCACTGCCAGGTCACTGGAGGGCTCTGGCCCTCTTTGTCCTCCTGTGAAATGAAGAGCACGGACCAGATTATTCCTCAGGACCGTTCCTGCCTTGAGATTCTGAAGGGTCAGACGGAGTGTAGGCCAGGGCACGTGTCCTCCCAACCTCACTGTGTTCGGAAAGCAAGAGATGTCACACGTCAGTCCGTGGTTGATGTCCGGATGGCACAGCTGACCAGGGATTTAGACAGTGATGTGCTGGTAAACAGGCTGGGGGTTTAGTTGGGGCAAAGACGGCCTTGATTTGCAGCATTTGCTGATTTCTGTAGTCTCATTATTCCCACTATGACAATTTCAAACTGCTAATGAGCGGACACTGAACTCCGAGTTGGGAGGAGAGGCATAAAATTGGCTGCTGGCTTCCGCAAACGATCCACGAGGAATTCAAAGAAAGCATTTTCTTCAGACCGTTCTGGGTTGTGAGAACTTCATGAAAGAGATTTGACGTAGGCATTCAAGAATACTGTATTCAGGTATTTTTCCACGATAACCAACAAAGTAGCTTAAACAAAGAAGGAGAATATGAGAATGAGAATGTTTTAGCGCAAGGATCTGAACAAAGGGTGTACTAAAATGGAGTTATAGCACTTGCTTCCACCTGTCAGTTCTTCATGCATCTGCTGTTATTTGTGTACTGACGTCATCCACCCCTGCGGTGCACAGGCTCCCTCCCCAAGGCAGGGGATAGGCTCTGGGCAACCCAGGGCTCTGTCCTCACAGTTAACCAATCAGAAGAAAATCAGTGCCCTCCTATGGAGATCACTTGGAAAGACTGATTGGTTCTGCTTGAGCCTCATGCCCACCACGTGGACTCTTAACTGGACAGAAAAGGAAAGGGTACGTGGTCCCCATGCCCCTGCAGCCAGAGGGCAGGCAGAGCACTGGGAGGGTCCACCCTTTCCCTGCCACTCCGTACATGTAAGAGTCGTCCTTATAGATTTCCCCAGTAGGCAGAGGGATACTGCCAGATATGAGCCACGAGTTTCTAATAGACATGAACGAGGCTTTGTGACACACAACAGTGGGGCCTAGTTCCAGGAAACTGCATAAGTGGAGGTGCATCTAGGAGCCAGCAAGAAATGCCCCCTGACCAAAGCAGGGCTACCCACAGGGCAGTGGTTCTCCATGAAGTGTGGGTGATTTTGCCCCCGTTGGGACATTTGGCAATGCTGGAGATATTTCTGGTAGTTACAATGGGGGAAAGAGTAGGGGGGGCCTACTATTTTCTCCTAGAGGCCAGAGGCCAGAGATCCTGCTAAGCGTCCTACAGTGCACAGGACAGTCCCCACAAATGACTGTCCAGCCTCAAATGTCAATAGTGCCGAGGTGGAGAAACCCTGACACACAGGAAAAATAGGAGAAATGGCTGGAAAGATGTCAAAACAGAGGGCTCTCTGTTAGGCTACAGAAAGGCAGAGGTGTCTGGGTTCTATCCTGCAACTATTACACAGGGGAGGATTAGACAGATGTGGAGAAAGGCTAGTACGGCTTTTACGCACGCTGGTGCTTCTGCCTGGCACCTCTCCCCGCTCCTCCTCTGCCACCTTCCCATAGTTAGCCTTTTTTTATCCCTTGCCACTCGGCTTAAATGTCACCTACGTAAAAGATCTTCCAGGCCTCCCATTCAAAATAAGTTCTCTCACAGACCCCACGTCACCATCCCCTCCCACAGTTCCCTCTTCTTTTCCTCCCTAACTCTTACCAGAGTTTTGAATTGTATGCTTATTTGGGTGCTAACTGAACCTCTGTCTCCTCATAAGCACCATGGCGGTGGAGACCTCGCTTATTTGTTCACTACTGTGAGCCCAACGTCAAACAGAGTGCCTTGTGCATTGTAGTTGCTTCCAGTCTAATCATGTGGTTAATTAATGTGAAGCCTGATTATTTGAAGAGAGGTTGAAGATAGGAGGTGGAATTGGGAGAGGGAAGAAAGGCAGTCCTTGCTGCTTTCCCATCCTCGCTGCTTCTGCTCCACACTCATCTCCCTCCTCTGACTTTCACATCAGCTAGGGTTCAAGTGAAGATGCAAGGCCCTTCTCGCTATTTGAAGCAGACAGGATTTACTCTAGAGAATCAAGAGGATTTAGAATTGTTACAGAGCGAGCTCTGGCCTGGGCCTCCAGGAATGATTCCCAGAATGCCACCACTGTACTGACCTCCCAAGGGAGCTCCACTTTCTGCCACAATAGGGAAGCCAGGAGTGCAGGGAGCAGCTACTGGGCCAGCCTAGCTGCAGGAACCCACCATGCGAGGTGTAGTCTGAGACAGCCACCGCCAGAGCTCCAGAGCCATACTGCATCTTTGGGTCAGCACCAGGAAAATGGATTCCTCCCAGGCTGCTGCCTCCTCTCCACCTAACTCAATTTGTTTTTTAAATTCAGGTCTTGCACAAGCACACAGAACTGGCTAAACCTAAATTACAAGGAGAACTCCAGCAGCAAGGAGTCTAGGAAATGGGCTTTTCATTTTTCAGCCTCTGTAGTCTATATGGGAAGGCATACCTGAGACAGGTTTGGACAGATGTGGAATGAGCCCAAATGCCACTTCTCTGGCCATCAATATCATGATGTCATTCGTCTTTCCTTGTTTGGTGCTGGGCACGTGCATTAGGCACGAACCGATGTGAAATGAATTGAACTGGATCAAATGAAAGGGAATAGCCTCCTCCTTTCTTACAATGCTTTGTACCTTCCTTACAACACTGCTGCGTTTGGCCTCTTTGAGGAATGTGTGTTCTCATCCATTTTCTTTGTAGACCAAAAGTTCCTCTCCTTGTCCCCACACTCATAATAGGTCATGGATGTTTGTGGACTGAATTAAACACAGAAACAGGCTAGAGGGAGGGAGTTCTGAGCCCTATGGTAGCTTGAGGCAGCTCCTGGAATAGCCATTTCCCAAGTACTATGGGGTTCCTGCTGCGTGAAGCCTTCCCCCCTGCGAGCACCCATGGGACAAGGCCCCGGGGATTCTGCTTGGCTCCAGGAGACCTAGGTTCCAGGGTGCTTTCCAACCTGGAAACCCATCCACCCTCATTCATCCATTTACGCAGCCAGGAAACGTTTATTAAGTGCTTGCTGTGTGCCAAGTGTTAACCATTTCCTTAGCAGCAAGAGCAGGCCAGCAGTCTCAGCCTCTGCAGCAGTGGCACCCTGAAGGTAACACGCACAGATCCCTACTCTACCCTGGCAGGGGCGCTCTCCTGAGCCCTTCAGGTTCTGAAGGGGCTCTGGGCAGTCTAGGCAGGGTTTCCTCACCTTTTCCCATCTGGACGCATCTGGGAACAGACCGACTTACCAAGACGGGGTAGCGGACAGAAGCCCCCTTTCCAGCCATCTGCAAATCAGCACACTATGCTCTGCTTCACACGGCATCTTTCATACGTGTACAGAACTCACACCTCCCCTACACCCAGACAGTCTCCATCATCCTCAGGGCTCAACTGGAACCTCTTCCCCAAGCTTCCTCCGACCCCCCCAGTTTTATACTCAATGTTTTTCTCTTCTGTAGCACTCGTTTCACTGGAAACCACTTGAGTCGACCTCAGGAAACTCAGCTTCCACGAGAGCAGGCACCACGCCTATTTGGTTTACCTCTATCTCCCCAGCACCTAGCTTGGGGACTGACACATAACAGAGGCTCATTAAATGTTTGCTGAATAGATGTTCATTGAGCCTGCTAACTTTCATTCTCAAATAATATTTATGTAATATTAGTAATAGTTCTCTACATAGTTCAGTGGTTTACCAACACCCTTACGGACGACTATCCCAACTTTAGGGGTAAAGACAGTGCAGTAATATTATTCTCCCAACTTCTCAGAAAGTGAAATGCCATCTGTGAAGTAGCTGACTTGTCTAATATAGTGGAACCAGCATTAGAGTTCGAATGCGTACGTGCATTAAAATTCTGACTGCAAACCCTGGGTCATACACCATCTGTTAGCCAGATGCTCTGGCAGCCCAGTGAAATACTGGTAGCTAGTAGAAGAGAGCAGTGGAAGGAAGAGGGAGAAGCAAAAGCCAGGCCTCTGAGGACCTTTTTTCCCCTAGTGTCTGCTTGTTGCCTAGATGAGGACTGCGAGCAGGGGCACCTCTCCACACTATTATGCACGCACACACATCTGAAAACAACCCACACCAAGGCATGCATGTATGTAAGCACACACAAGGTTTGAGCCACTGCACGAGCAGATGCCCGCAGACATCAGGCTGATACATAGTTATGTGTGCTCATATACACATTTAAACATGCACCCAGCGCACAGACATCCAGCCACTACCGTGTCCACCCTGAAGTATTCTTTGGTTGCACACCAAGCTGCATGTGCATGTACACATGCATACATGAGCTCTGGTGTGTGCACACATGCGCTTATGCATGCACACACACGTGTGCATGATTCTCACTCTCAAGTACATGCACATTCAGTACCCAGGGAAATGCGTCTGTTGTGAGCTGTCATGCCCACACGCGCGCACCCTCAGATCCGGGGTGACATGAAAGCTGACGTGCAAGCGACAGACATATGCGCATGTACCCACACCCTTGCATACGCCTGGGTAACAATCACTTTCATGCACGTAAACCTCCAAATACACTGACAGGTTCTGCACACGGGGAGATGCCTTGACACACACAAGTTGCGGCAGCGCTGAAAGTTTTTTCCAAACCAACTCCGAAGAGGGAATCGCCACGCTGCGGGCGGCCCACGTGACCGGGAGGAAGGCGCTCCCGCCGGTGACGGGATAGGAAAAGTATGCCTGGGGCGGTGCAGGAGGCGGGGACGCGGAGCCTGGCGGACTGCTTCGTAGCTCCGGACGCTCCGGGACGTGGCGGGCGGCAGCGAGGGTGAGTGTCCGCGGGTTGCCTGAGGAAGGTGCGGGCTGGGAGGACTGGGGATGCGCAGCGCTGGGGCGGGGTGGGGGGTAGGAGTCAGTGGGAGGGGGATGACTAAGAGCCCCTCCTCTTTACAGGCTAGGCAGTCCACGGATTCCTACCTCTGGACCTCTGCCTTCTAAACTGTATATAACATGAATTAACATTTATTGAGTGCTTACTGTGTGCCAGGCTCTGCACTCGGTGGTTTTACCTGGTGCTGGCAATAGCTCTACCATTTATTGAGCACCTGTTTTGTGCCAGGCCCTGCCAGCCCTCTGTTCATGCTCTTCCATTTCCATGACAGCAGCCTGTCTGCATCTGCAAAAGAGGAGCCAGGCTCAGAGGTGCTAACGACTTGCTCTGGGTTGCACAGCTAGGGAGTGGTGATAAAGGGATTTGAACCCTGATGAGTCTGAGTCCAGTACCCAAGCTAACAATCACAGTTAACGTTAACATGTATCATCTCATTTACTCTTCACAACACTTGCTTAATTAAACACATTCTACAGACCGGCAAACTCAGCTCAAAAGGCACTACATGGAAAGCAGCGATTTCTACCCAGTTCTTCACAACTCTCTTCACTCTCCCTCCTCCCCCAAATTTGGTTCTCAGCTCTCCATCCCCACTGCCAGCACCCCAGTCCAGGACTGACTCTCTCCGCTGCACCTGGCCGTGGTCCCCAGTGGCCTCCCAGCGCAGGCCCCTCCCCTAACACCATGAGTGCTTTGCACAGCCTCAGGGTGGTCCTCCTCTGTCCTTTCGCCACAGAACTCTCCTGCCCAGAGCCCTTCAAGGGCCCCCTCCTTGACTGGCCATCTCCCAGACACCCTGTGTCCCTGCCACGCTAAACCAGTGGCAACAGCAACAACAGAGCCCTGTGTATGTCAACCCACGGCTGAGCATCATCTGAAGTCTGTCCTCTCCCATTCTCCATTTCTGCACCTCAGTCTACACAGTCCTCCGACTTAAACTCTTACCCGGTGATCACATGCATTTTGGCCACTTCACCCACCACCCCACCACCCGTCCGTGCCCCCAGGCCTTCGGAGCCCCACTACCGCCCTTCATTCTCACCCAGAGCACGCTTCACACCCTTTTTCTTCCCAGCTGTCTGACTGCCCCCAGCCCCTGCAGGGACACCAGCCTTGCCTGTCTGCTCATCCTGCAACGGCAGGGTTACCTTTTGTCTTAAATGACGTAAAACTAACAGTGTTCATTGTAAGAAATTCAGACACTTCAAAAAGGCAGCAAGTGAAAGGCAAAAGCCTATTTATCCCCCAATTCTGAAAGGCAACTCCTTTGACAAGATGTTGCATCCTTTAAGAGATTTCATATATATATATTTATGTGTGCCTATCTATTTTTGTTTTTTAACTCAAAGACAATCGTACTTTACATTCCCTGCTGCTGCTTGCCTTTTTCACTTTTTGTGCCTTGGCCATCTTCCCGTGTATCTGCCTATTCAGACCTACTTTGTTCTTACTACGGAATCTCAGCTCGTCACTGCACGAACAAATCGAAACTTCTTTCATGAGCCTGGGTTCACCTCTGAAGCCACTGTGCCTCCATCAACTCTTCGGCAAACTCCCCAAGAAGCTGTTTCTTTCTCTGCAAATCCCTCCCCGCTGCCCTGTGTTCTATTCCTTCTCTCATCCTCCTGTGCCCCTGCAGACGACGCAGATGACCGGGGTGACCTCTCCTCCACAGTCGCGGTCTCCGCTGCTGTCAGCTCCGGGATGCTCGCCGTGGGGTAACGGAGCGGAGTGCACGCACTCACGGCTTCCTGCCGGCCGGGCTTTGTCCCCGCGAGATGAACTCCTGTAGACATTTGATTTTCTGTTACTTAACTTCTACTCTATGTTTCCTTTTTAAACGAATTCTTTGCTGAATCTTTTCACAAGGAAATAACCCTCCCTTGGGTCTGTGATTTCTGTAAATGGCTGGTTCACAGAGCTGCCCTGGGAGGTATGTGTACATGGGTCCCGTGCCCAAGCAGAAGGGCCATCCATGGCACAGGGTCATGAACCCCGGGCCCAGAGCCAACAGGCCTGGATTCTATCCCAGCTCTGACCTGGGAAAAATGACTTCATTTTTCTGAGCTCTGTTTTCTCTTTTGCCACATGGGCTTGATAGTATCAGCCTCTTAGAACTGTGGGGGAGATTAAAGGAGAAAATGAACATCAAAGCTTTGAAATAAGCCCTGGCTGGTGTGGCTGAGTGGATTGAGTGCCAGCCTGCAAAACTGAAAGGTCACTGGTTCAATTCCCAGTCAGGGCACATGCCTGGGTTGTGGGGCCAGGTCCCCAAATGGGGGTGTGTGAAAGGCAACTAACTAGTCAATACATCTCTCACACATCGATGTTTCTCTCCCTCTCTTTCTGCCTCCCTTCCCCTCTCTCTAAAAGTAAATAAATAACATCTTTTAAAAAAGGAAGCTTTGAAACAAGAGCACACAACTTGCATGGAGAACACATTCACAAGAATCCCGATTTTCCTCGAGGTCAAGGGTGGCAAACTCATATGCCAACCAGGGCTGTCATTTTAACCCCCCATCATCTCCTCAGTCTCTCATATTGTCCTTACGTCAGGACGACCCTGCAGTCACTGAGCGCTTCCTTTGGGCCAGGTACTGCGTGATCTCATTTAATATTCCTGATCACTCTGTGAGGGCAGCACAGGCATCAGCTTGCTCAGGGAGACCTTCCTGAAGACCTCACATAGTTCAAACCGGGGTACTCCAGAGCTCACCTGCCAAAAGAAGGATGGCAGGGTTTCTGTTTCCCGGCGTGAACAGGGCTGTCATGTGGCTCCAGCATAAACACAGTTTGCAGATCACAATTCACGCTGCCTTGCAAGGTTCCTGGCAAACTTTCACCCATAAAGGGAAACCATAAATATGTTCATATCATGCTATTTTGAATTCAAATGATTCAAATATCACCATATGGTACTGGGTTTTTTCTCATTTTACAAATGAGGAAACTGAGGCTCAGAGATAACTTACCAGAGGTTAAATAGCTAGAAAAGGATAACCACCAGACCACTTAACCACCACTTAACCACCAGACCAGCTCTGCGCTTCTTGAAGGCTAGTCCTATGTCGGATCTTTGCAGAGTTATTCCGAACGTCTGTAGGTCCTGACCAGAAGGGGCTCTCTGGAGACCCGTGGGCCCAGGAAAGTCAAGGAAAACCTAGCCTTTTCTCCCTAACCCTTCAGAGCTCAGAATTTGTTCCTTTCCCTCAGTTTCCCGATCTCTGAGTGTGGCCCCTCCATGCCATTCCAAGGAATCGCCTAGCCCCCAAATTTCCTTCCCCTGCCATCAGTGTGGTCCTGGCTGCCCTTGGAGAGAGAGCCTGTTACACAGAGACAGGAGGGGTGAGGTGTGCTTTCTGTCCCGGTCACACAGCTAGGCCAGGCTGGATCCTCATTATAACCAGACCGTGTGCCTCTAAGAGCAGCAACCACACCTTTTCATTCCCGTGTCTGGCTTCAGAGGCAGTAAAAATAGGCAGCCTCACTGATTGGGCACCCTGGCCAGGCCACGGTGCCAGGCACCAGCTCGCATGATGTCCCGTTGGCCTTCTGTCACTTGAAGAACCAAGCACTGTCCCATTGATTCCCCTGTCTTTATTAGTCATGGAGCACGTGGTCATGCAGGTGGCTTAGCGGTGTGGGGCCAAGGCAGGGACCCCATGACTCCCCTCAGCACGGGATTGGCCAGGCAGGAACTCATGCCCAGGCTCCCTAGGACACTCTTCTGTTAGCAACGGACAGAAACACAACTCAAACTAGCCTAAGTGAAAGTGGAGAATTTATTCTAGGACTACAGGGGCTTCCACCCAAAATGCCGCAGGACTCCTGGAGGAAGGTCAAGGCTGGTTTTCATTAGTTCCGCTGCCTTTGGTAACAGTTACAGTTATAAACAAGGTCTGAGTTTTTGTATTGGGTGTTACCTCCAACATCCATTATCTTGCCTGATCTGCAGAAGGACAAGAAATAATGAAATAATAATGGGTAATGCTTTTATACCTCTTTCCCTATGCCAAACCTTATTCTAGGAGCATTATACCTTCATAAGAACCTTGTAAGGTAGGTGCTCTTACTGTCGTACCCATTTTGCAGAGGACACGGCTGAGGGAAAGAGGATAAGTAATTTGTGAAAAGTCCCACAGCCAGTCCGTGGGATTTCAACCCAAGCAGCTATGCTTAGAGCTAATGCAGTAGCCGGCGTGCGGTTGTGGGGCGCTTGGAACATGGCGTTTCTAAATGAGGATGCGCTGCAAGGGTAAAATACACACCAGGTTTCCAAGACTTAGTGCCAACGAAAGGGTGGAAAGTACCTCATTGCTAACTGTTACACTGGTTACAAGTGATGGTGTTTGAGATGTAGCCGGCTAAATAACATCTATTATTTAAATTAATCTCATCTGCTTTTTTGAAGCCTTTGTAACGTGGCAGTAAAGAGATTCAGAGTGGCCTGTGGCCTCGTGTCGTCCGCCTGCTGGACAGCACTGTGCAAACAGGCTCCCAGCCCTCGGGACAAGCTGGACACGGGGCTCTGAACACCCTCAGGCCTCCGCCCCTCCCCGCACATCTGGCACAGCCGCTGCATTCTTGTCGCACACTGCAGTGCTGAGCAGGTCCAAAGCTGGAGGGCCTTGGCCCCAGCCACCCCGAGCCTGACTCTGGGCCTCACTGCACAGGCAGTTGAGGTCCAACGTGAAGCAGCCCAGGGCCCAGAGGGGTGGGCTCCACGTCGACTGCATCGAGTGCCACGTTTGCTGGTGCCTCAGGATCTGGGGTGTTGTTAGTGCAGTGCCCACCAGGCTGGCGTGCTTTCAGGAGCGCCACCGGGAGAAACCCCGCGAGGCCCTGGCTTCCGAGACCTCGTTAGGTCATGGTTTGGCCTCGGACCTCGTCTTCTAGACTGAGCCAGAAACGGGGGGTGGAAAGACAGAAGAGAGCTCAGATATTCTCTGGCGCCTTGTGACAAGTGGGACCCATGACTTGTCATGGTTCGTATTTTTGACCTTGCGTGCTCGAGTGTCCAAGTGGGCCGTGACCTGGAGAGCCCGGCACAGGGGACGCTGGGCGAGCGCCGCTGCGTGCGCCGCCGGCACCCACCCCGCTCGCCTCCAGTCGGCGTCTCGGCTCTTCGGAGGACCTGCAGAGGGCTGTTTCCAATCTGCTTGCTGGAATTCGCGGAGGGCGTGGGGTGTCTCTCATTATAGAATTTGCAGTCCCATTAAAGCCAATTTTTAGCGCATTTCATCTGCAAGCAAGCCCGGCCCCCCTTCCAACCACCAGCCCTTCCTTTTTAACTCCAAACACTGGGAGACTTGCCCAGTTAGGCCAGATTCAGGTACCCTCCCCCACACAGAACTGGGCCTCCCTGTGAAATATTCCAGGGGGGGGCCCCAGTGCCAGGTCAGGTCTGCATGCTGTTAGTTCAGCCGCAGTTGTCACCAATTATAACTTGAAACAAGGCTCTAACTTTTGTATCACGTTTTGCTTTCAACACCCATTACCTTGTTGGATTCTCAGGACGACCCTGCAAGGCAGCGGGTGAGAGTTACTGTCTCCACATTGTTCTTGAGGAGATGGAAGCCCAGATAAGAGGAAATGACTTTTCTGTAGTCACATGACCAGGACGTTACAAAGCTGGGACGCAGACCCACGTCTAATGAATCCAAGTGCGTTCATGCCACTGGGTTTCCCTCAGTAGCCAAGTGTGGCTTTGTCATCCACCCGCTTTTGATCTTGTTGCTCTTTTATTATCAGTGACCATTTCGTTCAAGGCTGGAACTACTGTGAGCTGAGCACTCAGTGCATGTGGGTGGGCACCGTGCTAGACTCTGGTGACAGAACACAGAGCAAGAGGGGCAGGACATCTGTTTTCCTGGACCTCCCACGCCAGGGGAAAGACACAGACAGTGAACAAGTCAATAAAGAAAGAAAGACACAACCACAACTTGCTCCACATGCTTTGGAAGAAAGACCAGGGAGGTCCGAGCCAGAGAGTCCTGACCCAGGCTATTTTAGATCCGGAGCTGGGACAGGCCCCTCTGGGGAGAGGTTACTAGACCTGAGATGGGAAGGATGAGGCAGGTAGCCGAGGGCTTTGGAGGGAGGAGGTTGCCCCCTCATCATCAGGGGGCATTTTAGGCAGATTTCTCACATCTGCTGAGCATTCACCGTGTCACACACTGCGCTAGATGCTTTGAACATATTTTCTCATTATAGCTACACGAACTCCGAGAGGTAGATACTCTATTCTCCTGTTGGATAGTTGAGGACACTGAGTGGCTGGGTTTCTCACGTCTCTTGATCACTGATCCAAACACCACCCCTACCTGTTGGTGTGTCATGGCCAGACAACCAGCAGCTCAGATTTATTTGAGCATAATTTATATCTTCTGACGTCCAGGGTGAGATTATTCGGAACTCAGGCCTGACAGCCTGGCTTGTCTGACAGGCCCAGACAAGTGTCCCTGGAGTTTCTACCGGTAGACCATGTTCAGGTAGAGTCAGCGAGAGACAGAGGTCCCACTTCTGGCGCTTCCCGCACCACAGTCTGGGTGGAGGGCCCCTGGGAAGGAACTGGCTGGGGGGAGGGGGGGCGGGGATGTCCTGTGGGTGGGAGAAGAGGGAGAAGGGAGAAGGAAGAAGGCTCAGGCTGGGGCCCTGTAGCGCCTAACATTTCCCTAGAACCTGTATATTTATGAATCATTAGCTGCTTAGCAGAGAGATGAGAAGGCCAGGAACTGGGCAAATTAAAACCAGACTGAAGAGCTTCGTCCAAGTTTAGCACCTCGTGATTCTCTATCTGGGGTTTAACCAGCTAACATTCTCTCCTTCGCCAGGAAGACTGTCATGCAGCCTCCGCTGTTCAGCTCACACCAGAAAGGACAATTTAGGAGCTAAGATCGTTCTTAAAAGGTGAGGAAGGACCAACACCTTTTCCCCCTCTGATCGGTTGCACAGATATGTGTGGAGCACCTGCTGCATGTAAAATATTCTGCACGCCCCCTCACCCCCCGCCCCCCCGCCCCACTCCTTGGAGTCGAGGTGGGGCCCCCTGAGCTCTAGGAGGTCAGAAGGAAGGAGGGATTAGGTCTGGTTTGGGTCAGAAAAAAACAAGAAGGGAGACAACTTATTGAAACCCAAGACTATCAGCGCCCTTTTGGATTCAGTCCACCACCTTGTTGTCCCTCTGCTGTGGATGGATGTTCTGGAGGGCAGACTCTGGGTATCAAACACTTATTAATCAAGGAAGTATTTCTTGATGCTTCCTACTGAGGGCAAGAAAGTTGGAAACTCAGGGAGATAGCAGGTGAGCTGCGGTCCCCACTCCCGTGGGGCTTCCGTGTTAATGGGGGACACAGTGGGGAGGCAGCAGGCCCAGAAGCAGGGAGGCAGGCAAAGGCAGGGAATATGGGGAAGCTTGCCGCGCTGGAAAGGCACAAGCAAGGAGCTGGGGACCAACGGCAGAGCCATCGGGAAGGCCTTGGAGGATGTGACGTTTACGCCGAAACATAGGCTAGAGAGCCAGCATGCCAGAGGGTGGGGCCCCTGGGTGTCAGAAAGAGGGGCAGCGTAGAGCTTCGTCTGAAAGAGAAGGGGTGTCTGGAGGAGCAGTGAGAGGTGGGGCACAGCTGGGGTTGGGGTGGTGGTTGTCGGGGGCAGCCAGGTAATTTAGGGCCTGGTGAGCCACGTCATCAGGGGTTCCTACATTGGCTATTTGCAACCAGTAGCCGCTGCAGTAAGATCCTCTAGGAAGTGATGCGCCTGGATTACGCTTTTAAAGGGCCCCTCTGGCTTGAGCATGGAGTGTCCATGGCGGGGGCGGGGAGAGGGCCGAGAGATCAGAGAGGCGGCTCTTGGCAGGTCCGAGCAAGGAATGAGCTGATGGCCTCTGGGTGCGCTCTGTGCACCCTGGTCTTTTGGAACAGCCGCTGGAAACACCCAGTAGTTGACACTCCGAAGAGGCTCACGCTGGGGAGTCATTGCCCAGGAGGCTGTCGCCTCCACTCCCCCACCCCCATCATTTTGGCTAAGCCAAGTGCAGGCCTCTCAAGGAACAAAAGGTTTTCTTCACGCATTGATTTACTCAAGTGTCCTGAGGGAGAAAAAGCATCACTCTTAACATTTTCAAAGTCATGTCTTGTGTGTGTGTGTGTATAAAATGACAAAATACAAAATACCCAAGAAATCTCTATTGCTCTGTGTAGCTTTGCCACATACTTCAAGGTCTTTTCTGTAATTTGGGATATTTAGGGGGAAAAATCAAAGACACGTTGACATAATGGAAAGCATTTGAGCATCAGGGTCAGCCAAACCCAAGTTCAAATATAACTTCTGCCACAAGCTAGTTGTGTAAACATGAGCAAATTAGCCTCTCTGAGCTTCAGTTCCCTCTTCTGTGAAGCGGAAATACCAGGAGAAATACCAGGACACGACAGCAAGGTGCAGGGGTTCGGTGTGGTCTTCCAAGCCCTGTAGACACCAGTTCGAACTCTGTCCCCACTGCTCCAGTCCTGTGACCTTGGGTAAATCATTTGACTTCTTAGAACCCCTGAAAAATAGAACAATAAGTTCTGCACCTTCACAGGATTTATTGTAAGCTGCAAATAAAAGCATTCGGGTAGAAAGGGACACCCGGTGCCTGGGGCATTGTAGATGTTCCGAACAGCCAATTAGTCCGTCTCAGTTTCCCTGTCCCTCACTGAAGAGGTTAGACAAGACCATTGCTTGGGGTTCTCCCCGAGTTTGTGATGCTGAATTTATTTAAAAGACCCTGGAAGAGTTAACCTGTCTGGATTCCTTGGGGGCATGGCACCCCACCCCCAGGTTTTCTCACCACTTTAGTGTGGAGAGACCCAGGAAGGCAGGCGCACAGGCAGAAGCAAGGCTATTTGGAGCTTGTTTTTCTGGGGGGTGCCCTGGGGCCAAGGAGACTCTCCTCTCCCGCCCTCTAGGGTTGGAACTAGAATCCAGTGACCCTGCCTTTATTTCCAAAACAGTTCCTGGCTCTGGCCACGGGGAAGAAATCCATTGCTCCCTGCGTGTTCCAGAGCCCCGCTCCTCCGCCCTGACGCTGGGGCCTGCCCTGGGCCAGCTGTCACTGAGCCCTGTCCCTACTGTCCCGAGAGGCTGGAGAGCAGGCCCTCCTCCCTCTTGCCCAGCATGTGTGGCTGAGGGTAGAGGTCAGACAAGAGAGGGGATGGGCCACTGGGGCACACACTGCCCCTCTCTCCTGCCTGTCTTCATCTAGCGGTTCACCGGACGCTGGCCGGCCTGGGAGACTCGCTCTCGCGGCCGCTTCCTCCCTCTCCCTCCCTCCTTCCCTCTCTCTCTCTCTCTCTCTCTCTCTCTCTCTCTCTCTCGCCCAAAACATTTGCAGATTGCAGCTTCCCAAACCAGTTCAAACCTGCTTGCAGAATGCGGTTTCCCTTCTGGGAGCCCCGATGTGTCAATGTGTCACAGCTTACAAGTCACACTGCCCAGTTTCCCAAGACTCTCATGCAGTCGGGAAGGGAAGGAGACGGAGAGTCTGGGCCTGGGGAGTGTCCGGGCACCAGTTTCCAGGAGAAACAGCTGACGGAGTTTGGGGCGGGGGTTGAGGTTAAGGATGGGTGGGAGAGCAGTTTTTTATTATAAGCCTCATAGTACTGTTTGATTTTAGAAACCATGTGAGTATGTCATTTCAATTGATATTTCTAAACTAAAAAAAGGACAGAGTGTAAGGAAGACACAGTGGAGCCTGGGACAAAAGGGCAGACACTCTGGATCTGCCCAGCATGGCCCAAGTCTCAGCCCCGCCCCCTGCTGATAACGGAATGACAGGCAGGTTGTGGACTTCTCTGGGCCTCCTTTTCCTCACGTGTACCTACCGGGTAAGGATGTATGAGGGTGAAGAAACGTGTGGACAGCTCGCAGCCCGAGCCTGGCGCCCAGGGAGCACCTGGCGGAGGAGGTGCCACCATGGCCCACCAGTGTCACTCAGAGCTGAAGCCTCATTTCCCCTCCCCCACAATGGGCTACCCCAAGATCCCTGGAAGAAGCAGCAAGTTGCAGACCATCACCTGCAATTTGAAGTATTTCTGCCCTTGTAGCTTTCCATTTGGGTCACATATTTGAATGAAACCGTGGCTCGTTTCTGTCCATCCACAGTCAGCTGTCACTGAGCCATATGTCCTGCCACTCCAGGGGACAAGGGTGGTGTGAGGACGAGTGCCTCACGCCAAGACCCTCTAAAGTATATTCGGGGCCCGTGACTCAGCTCATCCAAACATATACTCAGGATATGATGACATTGTCCAGCTACTCGTACGTATGTGATGCAGTGCAGCAAGCAGGAGCCAGAAATATCATCCAGCCTCTCCCAGCTGCTGCCTCCTCCCCTGTGTCCTTTCTGACAACCGGCAGTGGCCGCACTCCCTGCTCACAGCTCTCTTGCCTCCTACAGGTGACACCATGATCCCTTGGGTGCTCTTGGCCTGTGCGCTCCCTTGTGCGGCCGACCCTCTGCTTGCCGCCTTCACCAAAAGGGATTTCCAGAAGGGCTCCCCTCAACTGGTCTGCAGCCTACCTGGCCCCCAAGGCCCACCAGGTCCCCCAGGAGTCCCAGGGCCCTCGGGAATGGTGGGAAGGATGGGCTTTCCCGGCAAAGATGGCCAGGATGGCCAGGACGGGGACCGGGGAGACAGCGGAGAGGAAGGTAAGAGGCCCAGCGCCTGCCCCTCCTGGGCCCACCTGGTCTTGACAGCATCGGGCACAGAGAACTGAAAACTGGTGCCAACCCATGTCCTTATCAGCCAAATTAGCATCCCTTTAAAAAACGAGTCGTGTGTTCTCCTGAGGGAAACAGTGGATGTTAAATCTGTGCTCCTTCCCCAGCTGCACCCTTGGTTTGCTGAATGACTTTGGGCAGGTTTCCTGAAATATTACTCAGACCTCTTTCGGTTGCAAGTGGCAGAAACCCAATTTATAGTCCCAAGTGGAATTTATTGGCTCATGCAACAGGGAAGTCCGAGCGTTAAGCTTCAGAAATGGCTGGATCCAGGAGCTCCAACATTGTTGTCAAGGCTCTGCTTCTCTCTGTGTGTTGGTTTTGTTCTCACGAAGGCTGGAAGTCCTGAAATGGCTCCTGGTGGGCTCAAGTCTTCCTCATCATGGCTTGATCCATAGAGTAAATCTCAGGATGACTGATCCTCCCTGATCACATGCGCATCCTGGACCAATCCCTTTGATCATGGAGGTGTGGTACCACCATTCGCCAGGACTGGGCCTTGTGCCCACCCCTGGGTGTGTGTGATTGGGTGGTGAGGGCAGTTGTTCACTGTGATTGACAGCCTCACTGGGACCACATGGAGCAGTGAAGCACGGTTCCCCAAAGGAAAAGATGCCAGGCAGCCAGCAAACACGTGGAGTCCTGTCTACATGCCCTCTCAGCCTTGACTTTCCTTATCCCTCCAAACTGTCACCCCAGTAACCAGATACATTCCAGCATCAGCAGCACCCCAGAATGTACATTTTAAGCAGTAGGAAAATCATAACTGTTATTTGTATGGCATTTTAACACTGACAGAGCATTACCCCATTTCCCAACCACAGTGGGAGATTCGGATCTGGACATGTGCTCCGTGCAGGGCCAGCCAGAGCTTTCCCTGAGGTTTACCCTAGGAACCTTCCTGGGGGAGGAGACAGGTCTGTGCTATTGGCTTCTCCATCCTGGCCAAGAGCTGTAAGGATGCAGGCTTGGGGCTGCCTTTGGCCGCCTCTCCTGCCACGTGCTGACTCTCTGCTGAGAATGAATCCCACACACCGAGGAAGGCGGCATTGAGAAGTGGGCAGCCCTGGTCTGGGTAACCCAGATGGAGCTTGGGTTTCCTCCTGGACCAGCCAGAGTCCAGGACCACCACCAACCACCCGCCCCCGACAGACACGTGTACATCCATCTCCAGAAAGGTCTTGAAGAGCAAGTCAGCTTTTCCTGAAATTTCTCAGAAAAGTCATCAAGAAGGAAGCACCTCACTTTCCCATAAGCTTCCTTATTTGTCATTCCCCCCAAAATGACTCTCTTTTTAAATCCAAAATGACTCTCTTCACTCCTCTTCTCCTAGCTCTTTCTCCCACCTTGTGTTTATTTTCATTTTTTTAAAGATTTAATTTATTTTTAGAGAGGGAAAAGGAGGGAGAAAGAGAGGGGAAAAAAACCATCAATGTGTCTGCCATTGCCTCTGGAGCACCCCCCACTGGGGACCTGGCCCGCCACCCAGGCGTGTGCTCTGATTGGGAGTTGAACCAGCCAGCCTTTGGTTTGCAGGCTGGCACTCAATCCGCTGAGCCATACAAGCCAGGGCTATTTTCGTTTTTTCAAGGAACAGCTTTGTGACCTTTCCTAGTTTTATTTTTCCCCATTCCTTTTATTTATTTTTAATTACATGAGTAATACACAAATACATTTTCACTGTAATAAATTTAAACAATACAAATGAAGCAGGAATCCCCCTTGATATGCACCCCTTTCTTGTCCTCCTCTCATCCTCCAGAGGTAACCACTGGTAGCTGGTTAAACGGTGTCTTCCCTGGCCTTTTTCTATGTATTTACATTGTGTACGATAATGCCAGGCATTGCCAGGTGTAAACAATCTGTTCCTAAACTTAGATGTTCAGTGAGAAAAGACTGTTAGGGGATCTATTCCCCACTTATTTAAAACAAGAAACATTTAAATGCATTACACGTTAACCCAAAACTCTAAAACACAGGAAAATGCCTGCTTGCATACATCTAAGAAGCAAAGCATCTTGCTAGGGTGTAAAATGCCTACATTACTTTCTGTACACCCAATTTATGTGGCAGTAAATAAGGAGTTGCCTTGTTACAATGAGGCTGGGATGTTCTTTAGCACCAACAGCCTGCAGGAGCAGGGTCCTTGATTGGCATTCGGCAGGCTTTTCAAAACATCCACACCCAGTTCTGCTGATTTCCCTACTGTACCAACCGTCCATTTGTGTTTGGTCCATTTGCGACTCTTTACCGTAATATGTTTTATTTAAGATGTTGTATTGAGCCCTGGCTGGCATAGCTCAGTGGATTGAGCATGGGCTGCGAACCAAAGCATCACAGGTTCGATTCCCAGTCAGGGCACATGCCTGGGTTGCAGGCCACAGCCCCCAGCAACCGCACATTGATGTTTCTCTCTCTCCCTCTTTCTCCTTCCTTTCCTTCTCTAAAAATAAATAAATAAAATCTTTTAAAAAAGATGTTGTATTGAGTTTAGGGGACATGAAAATACATGTTTTCTATATCATCATGGGCCAAAAATGTCCTATTGAAAGAAATGCACATTCTATGAAATACGGGCATTAAGAACCAAGGGCTGTTCCGCAGGAAATGTAGCCTAGGGTAGGGCAGAGTGCATCCAGCAAGTGCTTACTATGGGTCAGCCACTCTTCCATGCAATTAAATGGGTGTAAAATAGCGTGGTGGTTTGCTTTGAACAAAACAATTCCTGCCACCTGCTCTTTCCTCTTAACAGGATATTTGGAAGAGGTTTTCACATAGTGCACATAGGTCTGCCTCATTTTAAAATCTCCTGCATAGAATTGCCCATTATGGGTGGAGCACAATTTTCTCATCATTTCCCCTTGTGTGGGCAGTTAGTCATTCTCAGTGTTCCCTATGCTAAGCAGCGCTGCACTGAACTCCCTCCTGCGCATGGGCAGGGATGGGGCACTAGGCAGAGATTTCACTAAGGTCAATGTTTTGAGGTCAAAAAGCTCCCAATTCTTTTCTCACCCGTTACCAGCACAACCCGTTGTAGGATTGTTTTGGCAGGCAAACCAGACTCTTCCTTAGGAGACAGGAAAAGAAAAGGCTGTGAATTGTGTTATTTTTGCTCTGACCCACAATGATTCTGGAATGTGTCACCGTTCCCGTTTTCCGGATAGGACTGGGAGATGGGCCCCGGGTTAACACCGTCTGGATCTGCGCCCGCTCCCACGTGACTCTAAAGCCCTCTTGTACTTCCCATTACCCAAAGGCTTGGCTCCAAAGACGGGAAGCCAAGGCCCACAGCCTCTGCCTAGGTCTCTGAGGGCCCCTTCATAACGCCAGCTGCTCTGTCTTCCAGGTCCACCGGGCCGGACAGGTAACCGGGGGAAGCCAGGACCGAAGGGCAAAGCCGGGGCCATTGGGCGGGCTGGCCCTCGCGGCCCCAAGGGCGTGAGCGGTGCCCCGGGGAAGCACGGCACACCGGGCAAGAAGGGGCCCAAGGGCAAGAAGGGGGAGCCGGGCCTCCCCGGCCCCTGCAGCTGCGGCAGTGGCCAGGCCAAGTCGGCCTTCTCAGTGGCGGTGACCAAGAGCTACCCACGGGAGCGGCTGCCCATCAAGTTCGACAAGATCCTGATGAACGAGGGCGGTCACTACAATGCGTCCAGCGGCAAGTTCGTCTGCGGCGTGCCCGGGATCTACTTCTTCACGTACGACATCACGCTGGCCAACAAGCACCTGGCCATCGGCCTGGTGCACAATGGCCAGTACCGCATCCGGACCTTCGACGCCAACACGGGCAACCACGACGTGGCCTCGGGCTCCACCATCCTGGCTCTCAAGCAGGGGGACGAGGTCTGGCTGCAGATCTTCTACTCAGAGCAGAATGGGCTCTTCTACGACCCCTACTGGACCGACAGCCTCTTCACAGGCTTTCTCATCTACGCCGACCAGGAGGACCCCAACGAAGTGTAGACAGGCCGACGCCGAGTCCTCAGGGACCATGAACACGCTCCTGGACTTCTGCTTACAGAGCACGACCCCTGGACAGTCTGCTGGGGCTGGGAGCCGGGAGCTTCCGGACTCAGGGCGACCTCCTCTGCCCCCTTTTTCTCCGCCATTAAATCCAAGCTTTTTTTATCCATCCTTCCATTTATCCATTCACTGTTTATTTTTTTTAGTACCTACTGGGCGACAGGCACTGTGCCACACTCCGGGTGCTACCACAGGGAACAAGACAGACAGAGGCTCTGGCCTCAAGAGCCTTACAATCTAGTGGTGTATACGATTTACAAGTAAACACACAAATAGTGTAATTTTGTGCCAGGATGGAAATGCACATGCCATGGTCAAGAGTAACCGGAATAACAGGAGACAGGGAAGGAGTGGACTTTTTTTTTTTCTGAATTCCATCTTTTTAGGTTTTCTTATATACAGTGAAATCTACATATCTTAAACAGATAGCTCAATGAATGTTTACACATGGGCACTCTTCGTTACCTCCGAGTAGGGTAGGAATGGAATATTTCCAGCCCCCCAACGACCCAAGGCCCTCTGAAGCCCCTCCCCATCAGTACCAGGAAGGGGTTCATTGTTAAGCCGAGCACTGAAGCAGGAGACAGCCATGCAGAAGGCTGGGGGAAGGGGTGTCCTGGCAGAAGGAGCTGCCAGTGTAAAGGCCTTGGCATGGAAGAGAGCTTAGGGTAGCTGAGGAACTGCCCGAAGGCCAGAGGGGTAGAGGGAAGTGACCAAGGAGACGAGTCCAGAAGATTATATAGAACTTCTCGGGCTATGGAGAGTTCATTCCACTCAAGAAAGCTTGTCAGGATGTGAGAGTGAGCAGGACATCAATATGAGATGACCTTGAATCTGCTCCGTGCCTGAGTCAAATCCGTCTCACATTTCAGCACTTTATTCTTGGTTACATGTCTCCTGCAGGCCCACGTCTCAGTGGGTGAGGTACACCAGGATACCCCCACGTGCCTGAGAACCACAGCTCTGAGACATGGGACGGGACACGTGGGACTGGGTAGCATGTAAATGAGTCGCCCCTGCCCGGGGGTTCCCAGTGCACAGGGATCCGAGGGCCCAGAAGCCACAGTGCACAGTGGCTGGTGGGAGAGGGCTCCCCAGGTCAGTTGCTGGAGAGAGTTTTCTGATGGAACCACGGCTCCCTGGCAGATGGCATTCACCAACCTCTAGCTGGGAAGGGGCCCCAGGAACAGGGAGCACTGCCTGGAGAGAGGGTCCCCTCCCTAAATAAAATGGAGTTTATTTAAAATAACTCCATTGTTTCTGGGCTGCAAAACGCGTGGAGCTAGGATGCGTCTGAGAAGCCCCCTGTGTAGGTCGGTGTCCTGCCTGGCACCCCAGTGAGTGTGGGGAGGAATCTTTGTGAACGGTTCTTTTCACCTTTTTATTTTTCTAATTTTTTTAGGAGCACCTTTAACCACTTCCTCTTCCTTCCCCCAGGGATGCAGGCGCGGAAAGGCAGTGAACTTAACCCTTTGTAGCCTGGGTAATAAATTCAGCCAGAGCAAGATGAGCAGGACCACTTCTGGGCCTGACCTAAACCCATGTCCTTTTGTCACCCTGCCAGGGAATGTCTTGGGAGCATGGTGAGGATGATGGGGGGGGGTCAGCCAGCCTTTATTGTGGGGGTGGGGCCAGCGGGGGCAGCACCTGGCAGGAACCCAGCCTGTCTGGGATCTTGTCTCCTTCGGATGTGGTCCGGGACTGCAGGAGGGGGTGAGGCAGGAGTGCTGGGTTTGTGTCAGGTGGGCAGAAGCAGGTGGCACAGTTCAGGGGGGCTCTGGTAACCAGCTGATGGCAAGAAAGAGGACTGACTTATCCACTAACACTTCTGAGGGGGGCTGCCTCCTTGGTGAACTACTGGGATCCTCCCTCAGGCAGGTGATGCAGGATGGAGGCCCAAATGAGGAAGGTGTTCCAAGAAGGTTGCCTTTCCAGAGGCAACTGACCCTGATGCAGACTCCAAACTAAGCTCCACACTAGTTAAAGTGGTGGGGTCAGATTTGAATCAGGAATATGCTATTGCAACAGTATAGAGAGAATATATAATATAAAACTTGCAGTAATACAGGTGAGGCAAAAGTAGTTTTACATTGCATGGAAAATAATGCAATAAATAATAACACAAGAATAAAGTCTGCTTTGCATATTTACAACCGTAAACATACTTTTGCCCCACCCTGTATGAATAATGTATTCATGTAATATACATTACACTAATGTAATGTAATTTCAAATGTACATCAAAATTAATGCAAAAAATCCGTGTGGTGAACAAACTATGAAATTTTTAAATAAAAACAAGATCTAACAGTGCTGGGATGAGGGCGAGAGAAGGGAGGCTGAGTCGTCAGCAGCCCCTGGAGGCGGGAACTCTCTTCACTTCCTGCCTGTCATCTTCACTTATTCCACCAGGGGGGGCACGTCTACTACACAAAACCTTCAGTCCTGCGGCTTAGAGGCTGGAAGACCTACCCTGGTCTCCAGGCTGTTTTCTATATTCAGAGCCAAAGATTAAAAAAAAAAAAAAAAAACGAAGAAGAGAGAGAGAGACATATGTCATTCTGGCTCGTTGTTTTACGTAGCCATGACCTTCCGCTGGGGAAAGAAAAAGAATTAAACACAAGAGCTGCAGGTCTTCCCAGCGTCATTAGTTAAAGGGATTTGGTGCTCATTCTAAATTGCAGGCTCAGCTGGCACGGGGCAGGACCATAGTGGTTCTCCAGGAAACAAGAAACCTGGGTTCCAGCCCTAGTTCTGTCTTCAGGTTCCTTGAGCAGATTTGGCCAGGACACTTCTAGTCTGGTGGCCTCAGTTTTTCCATCTGTAAAATGAAGTATTGGATCAGATGTTCTCAGAATCCATCTGGGCACGGAACACTTATGTTTCTGCCTCCAAAGCGGAGCCAAGAAGAGAGCCTGACATTCCTGAGACATAAATTAAAACAGCTGGGTGAAGCAGGCCCGCGTGCTCTGAAATGCTGAACTTCGACATTCAGCCCTTGGCTTTCGCTGAAGACTTCCAACAGATTGCTGTTCTCGGGTTTTCTGAGCTAGAATAGAAATCATGACTGACTGACTGTTCCCAAGCAGGAGCCACATGCCGGGTTTTACGTATATTGTTTCTTTTCAGCCTCTCAACAGCACCCCCCCTCACCCCGACACCTTTACAGGTGGAGAAATTTCAGTCCTAGAAAGAATGCCAGAGGTCATCTCGCTGGTAAACGCTACACTGGCCTGGCCCTCCCTGCCTTTCTCTGTGTCCCCTGCAGGAGAGCAGCCAGAGAAACGAGAAGTGCTAGAGTTCTGAAGCTCCCCTGAGTGGTAGGAGGTGGGGCCCCAAACCCTTTCCTCCCACAAAGTGTGATCCTGTCTAGTGGACTAAAGATTTCGTGCCAGTGCAGCAGACAACTCCTAAGCACCTGCGGTGGCAAGGTTGTGGAAGGCGCCCGTGGTCCCCAGGACAGGCGGGGAGTCAGAATCTCCCAGGATAGGTGGGACTGGGAAGGGAATGAGACAGCAGCACCTGGTCTGACCCTTCAGCCTCCTGGGTGCAGCCCATGAGCCTGGCCCTGACAACTCCTCAGCCTGCTCTCAAACACAGCCAGCGTTGCCAGTCCGCGGAGCCAGCAGAAAGCGGAAGCAGGAAAGACTCCAGTTCTGCTCTTTAATGGGGGTGGGGGGACATGAGTGTGTTCCTTTTTTTTTAATTTTCCCCTTTCCTGGTGTCCCTTCCAGGAAAGCCCAGGAGCACACTGAAAAGGGACTCTGGGGGTGACTTGAAAGGTAAGCTCACAGGCCCGACTCCTTAACCAGCATCTGCAGGCCGCAGCGGTGGGCTTGCTGGCTCACCCCTAAGAACATCTCCAAAATTTTCAGCCACTCCCCTCTTCCTGCTCCACAGACAGAAGCCTGGAGAGAAATTCTCAGAAAGGACCCACAGATGGCTAAGGGCAAATCGCTTTTTTTTTTTTAAGACATTTTCCATCTCCTTTCTCACTGTGCCTCAGGTTGGCCCTGACTGAACACAAGAAGGAGGAGCTCTGTCTCATCACCGGACTCGGTTCCCTGATGCCCTCGTAAACTTGCGACAGCCGTTCATCCCGCCCTGGAGTGGTTTCCGAGCTGAGGCCGATAATTACCCAGAATAACCTCCTAGCGTGAAAAGTCCATACCCCACTTGGGGCTCCTTTATCCCTTAAAACTCATTAATGTATGAGCTTAATTACATGGAGATCAAGGGCCTCCGAGGTGAAAGGCTAACTAGGGCATTAAATCCTGAACCACTTCTCAGAACTGCGGGGGGCAAATCGCTCTTGGAAAGCTCCACACCCCAGAGTTGGAGTCCCGGTCCAGGCATCCAACAGCCAGAACCTGTTCGGAGGAGGTTGCGCAGGGTCTGGAAGAGCCACCTTCTACGAGTCACGGAGAGAAAGGGAAATGGGAGTCCCGAGGGTGCCTGTCCCCCCCTGCAGGGTGGTCCTGGGGCCAGAGACGCCGACGGCTTTGAGATGCTGTAGAGGAAAGAACTTGAATAAGGCTGGACTTCATCAAGTGGCCCATTTAGGCCAGTTTATTTGCTCAGTAAATATGTGTTACACCTCCGCTATGTGCCAAGCACTGAGTCAGGCCTTGGGGATCCTGGCATGAGCAAAACCCAGGTCTGGTTTCCGTCCTCCTGGAGCTTAGAGTACAGCACAGGCGGCAGACGGACACTGGAAAAATGACCACATGAATGTCTGTGAAATGTCAGCTGTGAAATGGTGCCATGAGAATGGCAAGGTGAGAATTTGTCCTAGTACGAGCGTCACAGAGAACTCTACGGGTGGAGTGACAGCAAAGCTGAGAAATGCAGAGTGTGAGCCCAGGAAGCAGGTCCAGGGGTGGGACAAAGCATGGCGGGGGGGGTGATCAAAGTAGTCCCATCCCACAGGTCATGGGTGGGGGGAGGTGCAGGAGAAGATCAGGGGGCCGAGCCCAGACCTAGGAGGCTGCTAGGTCAAACTAAAGACTTCTGTCTTGACCCTGAGAATAACAGAAAACCACAGAGTCATTTTAATCGGGCAGGTGACATAAGCAGCTGGGAATCGAGGA